AGGGGGCGGAGGAGGGGGAGGCGGAGGCCCTGAGGCTGGAAGTGGAGGAGGAGGGGGCGGTCCTGGGGGAGGAGGGGGCGCCCCTGGAGCCTGGGCAGGGCCTGGTGGGAGCGGAGGAGGGGGTGGAGGCGCAGGTGGTCCCAAGACAATGCCTGAGAGAAAGAAACGCACAATGAGACCGGCAACAGCAGACGACAGACGGCAGCACCCACGTGGGCCCGTAGGCAGAGCGTCCTGCCAAACGGAACGGGCGACTCAGCCTGTTGCTACCTTATTAACGAGTCCCATTTCCCATCATGCTGAGAGCCTGGGTCAGTATTAAAACGACACTAACATGTGAAGCCACAGTGCGTAACTACTGGCCGTGGTATTAGAGCTTTATTAGCAGAACTACAACACAGAGCACCTAGTCAGAATTTCCTTTTTGTTCGTGGGGGTTTAGTAAACAAAATACATGCTTATAACATTTGGAAGGGAGGCAGCACCCAGTGTGGGGGGGGGGGGGGGTAATGTATATGATGGCAGTCGGTACTATTTGAAATACCAGACCCCCCCAAAATCTGTGTAAATTGTAAATTCAATAAATTCTACAAGAGCAAAGACATATGTTGACGTGTACATAGACAGCCGAAGTGGCTAGCCTGAGAACAGAAAGGTAAGGGGGTCCCAGGCATCAACATCTTCAATTATTCCCCTTCGCATTCCAATGTGCAGCGAGAATACAGAGAATCGCTGAGGTTAAGGACTCGACTAGGACCAAGTGAAAGCGCCAAATCACTACCAGAATCATTCAGTGACATAGACAAAGTACAGAGGTTTTTTTTTTTTTAGCCTAGAAGACTAATGTCCAACTCTCCTCAAATCCCAAAGAGAGCGAACAAGATCGTAATATCGGAAAACTGCGCTAGTGGATACCCCTTCCCTCCAGGCTTCAAACGGGTGTCTGGGGGCAAATAAAATGCTATTTGCACACTGGGAGGTCCGTCTTCTGAAACTGCTGCCTTTGGGCAGTTACACCAGCTCAAAACATCAAGTGTTTCAAGGAGAGTCCATTGGGCTGTCAGAACGAGACAGACATTGAGGAAGAACGAGACAGACATAAAAAAATACAATAATTTGGAAATTGCATTTACCCGTGACACCTTCCTAAGTTTTGCTCCAGCAATTGCAGCCGCCAGTCCAGTTAGGGGGCGATTGTCTTCGGACACGGATCCCATAAAAAATCCAGAGGCAGGGAGAGGAGGAGCGGGAGGGGCTGTCACTCTCCCAGGAGCTGTCAGGGGCTGTCACTCTCCCAGGGGCTGTCACTCTCCCAGGAGCTGTCAGGGGCTGTCACTCTCCCAGGGGCTGTCACTCTCCCGGGGGCTGTCACTCTCCCAGGGGCTGTCACTCTCCCAGGAGCTGTCAGGGGCTGTCACTCTCCCAGGGGCTGTCACTCTCCCAGGAGCTGTCAGGGGCTGTCACTCTCCCAGGGGCTGTCACTCTCCCAGGAGCTGTCAGGGGCTGTCACTCTCCCAGGGGCTGTCACTCTCCCAGGAGCTGTCAGGGGCTGTCACTCTCCCAGGGGCTGTCACTCTCCCAGGAGCTGTCAGGGGCTGTCACTCTCCCAGGGGCTGTCACTCTCCCAGGAGCTGTCAGGGGCTGTCACTCTCCCAGGGGCTGTCACTCTCCCAGGAGCTGTCAGGGGCTGTCACTCTCCCAGGGGCTGTCACTCTCCCAGGAGCTGTCAGGGGCTGTCACTCTCCCAGGGGCTGTCACTCTCCCAGGAGCTGTCAGGGGCTGTCACTCTCCCAGGGGCTGTCACTCTCCCGGGGGCTGTCACTCTCCCAGGGGCTGTCACTCTCCCAGGAGCTGTCAGGGGCTGTCACTCTCCCAGGGGCTGTCACTCTCCCAGGAGCTGTCAGGGGCTGTCACTCTCCCAGGGGCTGTCACTCTCCCAGGAGCTGTCAGGGGCTGTCACTCTCCCAGGGGCTGTCACTCTCCCAGGAGCTGTCAGGGGCTGTCACTCTCCCAGGGGCTGTCACTCTCCCAGGAGCTGTCAGGGGCTGTCACTCTCCCAGGGGCTGTCACTCTCCCAGGAGCTGTCAGGGGCTGTCACTCTCCCAGGGGCTGTCACTCTCCCAGGAGCTGTCAGGGGCTGTCACTCTCCCAGGGGCTGTCACTCTCCCAGGAGCTGTCAGGGGCTGTCACTCTCCCAGGGGCTGTCACTCTCCCAGGAGCTGTCAGGGGCTGTCACTCTCCCAGGGGCTGTCACTCTCCCGGGGGCTGTCACTCTCCCAGGGGCTGTCACTCTCCCAGGAGCTGTCAGGGGCTGTCACTCTCCCAGGGGCTGTCACTCTCCCAGGAGCTGTCAGGGGCTGTCACTCTCCCAGGGGCTGTCACTCTCCCAGGAGCTGTCAGGGGCTGTCACTCTCCCAGGGGCTGTCACTCTCCCAGGAGCTGTCAGGGGCTGTCACTCTCCCAGGGGCTGTCACTCTCCCAGGAGCTGTCAGGGGCTGTCACTCTCCCAGGGGCTGTCACTCTCCCAGGAGCTGTCAGGGGCTGTCACTCTCCCAGGGGCTGTCACTCTCCCAGGAGCTGTCAGGGGCTGTCACTCTCCCAGGGGCTGTCACTCTCCCAGGAGCTGTCAGGGGCTGTCACTCTCCCAGGGGCTGTCACTCTCCCAGGAGCTGTCAGGGGCTGTCACTCTCCCAGGGGCTGTCACTCTCCCGGGGGCTGTCACTCTCCCAGGGGTTACTGCTAAGGCTGCTGCAGGTAGGCTGTCTGACCATCGAGCTATAATTGTGCCTCTCTGTCTGGCATTACTGTCACAGTGATACTAAACTAGAATTTTGGCTCAACATGTTTATGCAAATCCGAGAAAGTCCACAAGAAAAATATATATGCAGCAATAATGAGACTTATTGCTTTATCTTGAGAACAAATTTTTTTTTTTTTTTTAAAAAGGTGTGTTTAAATCCAGACTTATAACACTGTTGGTAAGCACCAATTTGTCATCCTACTCCTTTCTGTAATTCTTGCTAAATCCTATTTTTAAAGGGGCAGGAGGTTTGCTAAACACCTTCTTATTTACTTACTTACAGAGCTAAGCCCTCCTCTACATAGAAATCATCCATACCCACAGGGGGAGCGCCGCTCAGCCAGAAGCGGGGTTCACGGCTGGCGAGCGCAGCGGAAATGGTGGGAGAGGCTCCGTAAGGTTATCCGACTGAGCCCTCTTAGCCCTGGCTGGTGCTGCTCAGTGGTTAGAGCACTGGCCCGTGCACCAAAGGGTCGGAGGTTCGATTCCTAGTCAAGGGCACACACCCGGGTTACGGGTTCGCTCCCCACCCCAGGTCAGGGTGCATGTGGAAGGCAACCAGTAGGCAACCAGTTGATGTGTCTCCCTCACATCGATGTTTCTCTCTCTCTCTCTCTCTCTCTTCTCTCCCTCCCTCCCACTCTCTCTGAAAATCAATGGAAAAGATATCCATTGGCAATCACTCTCTCTGAAAATCAATGGAAAAGATATCCACTGGCAACGATTAACAAGAGAGAGAGAGAGAGAGAGAGAGAGAGAGCGAGAACCCATACTTTGAAGATTACATCCTCCCTTCCCTGTTACCATGGCAACAACGGTCAGGCATGGGGTGGGATGGGGGAGGGATAACTGTAGCAGACGCTATTCTCTCTCATCTACCCCTGTAGCCGGCCACTTCTTGTAATTCTGGACCATGGAACTCTCTGGGGCAGACAGCAAGCCCACCATGCTCTCCACCCCTCCTGCAAAGCCAGGCTGCTCGGCGGGGGTTAGGGGAGCACCACCCCTGGACGTCCAGTACGGGAACCCCAACTCAGGAAAGGAAGACTGAGGTGAAACAGGGTCCAAGGCCGGAACTGCTGCAGAGGAGACCCTAGGCCAGTGATGGTGAACCTACGACATGCGTGTCAGAGGTGATGCGCGAACTCATTTTTTTGGTTGATTTTTCTTTGTTCAATGGCATTTAAATAGATAAAATAAATATCAAAAATATAAGTCTTTGTTTTACTCTGGTTGCCAAGATCAACATTTCTATATGTGACAGGGCACCAGGGTTAAGTTAGGGTTTTTCAAAATGCCGACACGCCGAGCTCAAAAGGTTCGCCATCACTGCCCTAGGGTGACATATAATGACTACAGCCGGGCACTAGACATTAAACATCTCTCTCTAAATTTTCCAGACACGAAAGGAAGACCAGGCTGATCACGTAGTTACTCTGCACCTCGAGTGTGGCCTGTACCGCTTTCTCGGTGAAAACTGAGAAGGAATGCACCGAGGAGGCCCTTAATCACTGGACAATGATGACCCCGCTGCAGATGCCAACATCTAGCTCCACGGGACACTCCTCCCCTGGATCCTCCACACGCAGTTCACCCGGCAGAAATCAAAACCCCTTTAACGTTTCCCACGTTAGGAAGGAGATGGTGCTCTGGCCTCAAGGATCCACACCGCCCTCCCCGCTCTGCTGGGCGGTTCCAGCTGGTGGCAGCGATCGCGGGGGGCACGCGGGGGGCCTTACCCGGTGGGGCTGGCGTCTCGGCCGGCTGAGGGGCTGCCTGCAAGCCTGGCTCAGAAGCAGAGGAGTCTCCCAGCACAGAGTTTAGAGGAGTCTCCACAGAGGCAGGGGCAGCTGCAGAGGGAGAAGGGAGAACACTAGGCTTGGAGGAGGGAG